TGTAGTTTAATAATACAGGTTTACTTAAATAACAAAGTAGTTTTCTGGGCTTTACTTCTTTAACACAAACTTTGGTACTAGAGGAAGGAATAAAATGAAAAGACTAGGGATAGGTTTCTGTACAACAAAAAAAGAAGAACAGTTCAGTATGTGTCAACAAAGTTTTTATTCAAACTTTTTGGGAGGGAATCCCTATTCTTGCTATATTATTTCTGCCTCTGGTACCAAATGTGATGTTAAAGAAGTGACGCCCATTATTAAATGAAGTATACTTTATGCTTTTTTATAATTCATATAATACTTGTGAATATGAAAAGCTACAGCTTTATTTTGATCATTAAAAAGCCTCACCTTTGCAGTGGGGGGCAAAGAGCCTTTGGCAATGATTAAATCCAACCACAATTTTGTTTATCCACATTTATAGATGAGTATATGAAAAAAGAAAGAAAGAAATCAAGAAAATAAGTTGTCTGTAATAGCTTACTTCTGAACAAGCTGAAACCAGAAAAACTGCAATAAATGCAGAAATTAAACAAGAAAATCATGTTTTCTGCAATTGAATACTTCTGAACATGCTAAAACCTGAAAAACACCTATGTAGGAGCAATTTCACTACTTCACTGGGTCCTGTAAGTATAAATTTAACGATAAATATGTACTAGAATGTTCTTAATCAGATTCAGAACTCTCCCTTTGTTAGTGATTTATAAAAGTTGGATAGAGAGAGAAAAACAAATGTAAAGCTATAATTATCTACAGGAATGCCATATATAGATAATTATATGGCATTCCCAAAAGTGAGGAGGAGCTGAGGAGCCTTCTAACCAAGGTGAAAGAAAGAAGTGCAAAAGCTGGCTTGCAGTTAAACAAAAAAAAAAAACCAAGATTTTGTCAACCGGACTGATTAATAACTGGCAAATAGAGGGAGAAAAAGTGGAGGCAGTGACAGACTTTGTATTTCTAGGTGCAAAGATTACTGCAGATGCAGATGCAGACTGCAGCCAGGAAATCAGAAGGCGTTTACTTCTTGGGAGGAGAGCAATGACCAATCTCGATAAAATAGTGAAGAGTAGAGACATCACACTGGCAATGAAGATCTACATAGTTAAAGCAATGGTATTCCCCATAGTAACCTATGGATGTAAGAACTGGACCATAAGGAAGGATGAGCGAAGGAAGATAGACACTTTTGAGCTGTAGTGTTGGAGGAAAATTCTGAGAGTGCCTTGGACCATGAGAAGACTCAAGCAATCCATACTTCAGGAAATAAAGCCCAACTACTCACTGAAAGGAAGGATATTAGAGGCAAAGATGAAGTACTCTGGCCACATAATGAGAAGACAGGAAAGCTTAGAGAAGACAATGATGCTGGAGAAAATGGATGGGAAAAAGGAAAGGGGGCTGACCAAGGACAAGACAGATGGATGTCATCCTTGAAGTGACTGGCTTGACTCTGAAAGAGCTGGGGGTGGTGACAGCCAACAGGGAGCTCTGGCATGGGCTGGTCCATGAGATCACGAAGAGTAGGAAGTGACTGAACGAATAAACAACAACAAATGTCATATAATAGAAGTATAAGATATAAAATACTTGATGTTTCTCACACCACCGCAAGCCTGGATTCTCTTGGGATCTCAGTGTACTGGTCCATTTATTGGATTGGACAGAAATATCAGCTCTACTATATTTCCCAAGTGAAACACATAGTTGGATGAGCCTGAAAACTGGCCAGAAAGGTAAATAGACAACTAACAATAATTTTGGCCAAAGGATCTACCAAGCCCCAGCATTGCTTTCCATCCAACCTACTCATGGCTGAGATAGATACATTTTTATAAGTCTCAGTATTTTATAGAACTTATGTTACACAAACAAAGATAAAGTGTGCACGAGCAATATATAATACATATATGATAATCCTTATCTGAGGTATATGTGACCAGCACAGAATGTAGATAGAGCTTATTTGTTGTTTAATGAGATCTTCTCAGTGTCTGGCACTGTATGTAATCATAACTTTTGGTTGTTGTCCTCAGACACATAATATTCCAGTTACATTTTCAGCACAATGACAGAGCTCAGCAAACAATACAATCCATGGAATACATGTAGCTCAGTTGCTTCAACCTGCATTACAGAGGTCATATGATGTTTAAACATACTGTGATCCTTTCATTCTTTGTATTTAGCTATACATGGTTTTCCTTGTCTTGCTTCTTATTCTGTCTACAACATCCATGAGTCCTGGTCTTGGTGGAAAGACAAGGTACTAGGCAAGGTTTCGCCATTGTGACAGGTAAACATTGGCATTATCTAACCTCCTTTTAAAGCTGTCCATTTTGGGGACCATAAACTCATCCTGAGAAAACTAATCCCATATTATCTTTGTGCTGTGTGAAAATGTACTTTGCTTTGCACTTCCTAATCCCTGCAGGGAAAGGTGTGAAAAGTGAGTGGATGTCTGAGAACAGGTTTACAGAAGGTTTACAGAAGACCCCTCCTAGTCCTTAATGCAACTGCTCACCTCCCACTTGATCTAACTACACGAAAGCATCATGCAAACAGCTTAGGTGTGGCATTTATGCTATTGTGCTGAGTATATTGAAAGCAAATTCCACCATTAAAGCCATGTGAAGCTGTAATATTCTAGACAGTGCAATATGAGGCTCATTCCCTGGCATCTCCAGGTATTCTTGAGATGCAATGTAGTGTAGCGGTTTGAGGGTTAAACTACAAACCTGGAGACCAGGATTCAAAACCCTGCTCAACATGAAAACCCACTGTGGCCCCTTCTACACTGTCAAATAAAATCCAGATTATTTGCTTTGAACTGGATTATCTGGCGGTGTAGACTCATATCATCCAGTTCAAAGAAGATAATATGGGTTATAAGGCAGTATAGAAGAGTCCTGTGTGACACTGGACAAATCACATACTCTCAGCCTCAGAAACCCCCATGATAGGGTTGCCTTAATGTCACCATATGTCAGAAATGACTCAAAGGCACACAACAACAAATAATCGCAATTTTCATGCGATCTTAATTTGAAAGCTATAAATGGGGGAAGGAAACAATTTTCAAAATATATGATTTCTTAAGTACATACATGCAGTGACTTTCAAAATTATAACTCCTTTTTGCAATAGCATCTGCATTAAACTGTATTTCCTTGGAAGAATTAGTGGTTAAACAGTGTGTAAATAGTAAAGGTAAAGGTTTCACCTTGACATTAAGTCTAGTCTTGTATGACTCTGGGCATTTCTAAGCCAAAGAGCAGGTGTTGTCAGTAGACACCTCCTAGGTCATGTGGCTGGCATGACTGAATGAAGTGTTGTTACCTTCCCACCAGAGCAGTACCTATTGATCTGCTCACATTTGCATGTTTTCTGAACTAAGCTGGCAGAAGCTGGGGCTAACAGCAGGAGCTCACCCCCATTCTCCGGGGTGAGCTCCTGCTGTTAGCCCCAGCTTCTGCCAACCTTTTGGTGAGCAAGTTCAGCAGCTCAGCAGTTTAACCTGCTGCACCACCAGGGGCTCCAGTGTGTAAATAAGTAAGTAAGTAAACCATGGTAGGCAAATTCACATCCCCACAATCAATCTGCATAATTACTATTATCATCAAGATGATACCCACTCCCATTCCATGTTCAAAAGCCAATTTTGCTTGGTGGTTCAGTCTGTCTGCAACTTCTGGGGTCCCTCAAAACAAGATGAGGTCATTGCCATATTCTGCAAAATGGAAGGGCTGGATTTTTGAATGCAAACTATCTTAAATCAGGAGACGGGATGCAAAACCTTTCCACTTTTTAACTTCTAGTAATCTAGGCCTCATCTACATTGCATAACAGGCATGGGCAAAGTTTGGCCCTCCAGGTGTTTTGGACTTCAACTCCCACCATTTCTAACAGCTTACCGGCTGTTAATAAGAAAAGCCTATAATAAATTGCATTTCTTATATAGCAGGCATGGGCAAAGTTTTGGACTTCAGTTCCCACACTTCCTAACAGCCTACTGGCTATTAGGAAGTGTGGGAGTTGAAGTCCAAAACACCTGGAGGGCCCAACTTTGTCCATGCCTGCTGTATAATAAATGCAGTTTATTATCAGTTCTTTATTCCTACTGGCTGTTAGGAATTGTGGGAGTTGAAGTCCAAAACACCTGGAGGGCCAAACTTTGCCCATGCCTGCTGCAGGCATGTAGCCGGGGGGGGGGGGGGGGCTCGGGGGGCTTCAGCCCCCCCCCCGAAATTCTCATGGTGGTTCGCGAAAAGGCCTTACTGGTGCATTATTTAAACTGTTATGTTTATTAATATCATGATTTGATCACCATTCTCAATATATCCCATATGTATGGGGGTATTGGGGTAATGATACAAAAGGTTTGCTAGGCTAGACCCTCTTTCACTCAGACTCAGCCCCCCCCCGAAACTCAGCCCCCCCCGAAACCCCCCTGAAAATTTTTTAGCCCCCCCCCCCCCCCGAAACGAAATCCTGGCTACGGGCCTGGCCTGCTGTATAATAAATGCAGTTTGACATCACTTTGTAGATGTCCCTCCTCATCAGCTTGACCTGAACTCCACTTCAGCAAACTTCAGAAGTATTTAAGCAGAAACAGGATGGCCACCTGCTAGAGTGGTTGGATTGTGCTTTTCCTGCATGGCAGGGGGCTGGAATGGATAACCCTTGTGGTGCCTTCCAACTCCATGAGCCTTTGTACATCTCAGACATAGACTTTGACACCACTTAACCTCCCAGGGCTCGATGCTATGTAATCCTGGGCTTTGGCAGAGGCGGCTAAAGACCTTGCAAAACTACAATCCCCATTGTTCCTTAGCAGTGAGCCATGGAAGTTAAAGTGGTGTCAAACAGTATTGACTGTGCAGCGTAGATGAGCCTATAGACAGAGAGACAGGCTGGTGGCTCCTTTTTTCTTTGCAAGGCAGCGGGGCTGGAGGGGGAAAAGGCCAGGCTCCCCTGCGCGTGCTCGCCTGGCGGAGGGGCTTCGCTGCGCGCGCTCCCGAGGCGCTGGCTTCTGCCTGAGTTGGCAGCCTGGCTGAGTTGCATCAGACGAGACGCGGCTCCTGCGCCTTCCTCCGCCGCCGCCGCCGCTGCCGGGTACCCAAAGGCTGGACGAGGCACCGTCTTCCCATCGCTCCCTTGGCGCCTCGCCAGGTGTCCCTGCATTTCTCCCTTCCTTCCCCCCTTTTGGATGAGCACATCTCCGCCGGCCACAGAATGCTCTGCAGAGCCAACCAACTGGTGAGGAAATTCTCCACTTCGGCCAGGGTGAGTCTGAGATGATCCTTAGATAGAAGCCCCGGGAAGGGAAGGGAAGGGAAGGGAAGGGAAGGGAAGGGAAGGGAAGGGAAGGGGCTGCCAAGGTGGGGAGGGAAGATGCTTGGCAAATCTCTGGCCCCTTCTCTCCTGCCGGAGAGAGACCTTTGCAGGGACCCAGGCACTTTTAAAGCTTGGCAAGGAAGGACTGCAGCATGATTACCTTTCCCAAAATGTGCCATTTAAATCTCACCCCTTAGAAATGAAATGAAATCGCAAAAACTAGAATTCAACAAGGAGATCAAATACCAAGACGCAGTGTCCTAATACTTTGCCTTCATAACTCCCAATTTAAAAAACACAACCCATTTCTCTCCACTCTCCCTCAAACCAAAGGTGTGATACAAATGTCATATTTCTCTTCTGCTAACTGCATCAACTTTGGTTAAATATTATTTATTATTATTATTATTATTATTAAACTTTATTTATACCCCACTACCATCTCCCCAAGGGACTTGGTGTGGCTTACATGAGGCTGAGCCCACAATACATCAATACAAGCAATAACAACAACAGTAAAACAAATGAAATAAAACTCATAACCAAAAAAGCAATATACAAAGACAATAATACAACACACAATTAAAATCTATGGCTGGGCCAAATGCAATTAAAGTTAAAAATAATGCTAGGCATGAAAAAGGTAGGAAAGATGTGTTGTTAGTGGAAGCGTACCAACCATCCTAAATCAATGTAAAGTGCATTTGGAGGGCACAATGCTGAGAATTCATTATTCTGGGAAGGCACACCGGAACAACCACGTTTTCAGGCTCCTTCTAAAGACTGCCAGAGTTGGGGCATGCCTGATGTCCTTGGGAAGTGAATTCTAGAGTCAAGGGGCCACCACTGAGAAGGCCCTCTCCCTCGTCCCTACCAGTCGCGCCTGCGATGGAGGTGGGAGCGCAAGGAGGGCCTCTCCAGATGAATGAAGAGATTGTGTGGGTTCGTGCACAGAATTATACACAAATATGTTTAAAATTAGTACATACTTACAAGTAGTATTGATACAATGTGACCATTTTGACTTATTTCATATTTTATGCATAATCTCAGTATAACAACAACAACAAGCAATCAGAACAAATGCAATTAAGACCAGGATTGAAAAATCAGCTGCTGACCCAAAATGCAGACTGTGCAAGGACGCTGATGAAACCATGGATCATATCTTCAGCTGCTGCAAGAAAATCGCACAAATGGACTACAAACAGAGGCACAACTCTGTGGCCCAAATGATTCATTGGAACTTATATTATAAGTACCACCTGCTAGTAGTAAAGAACTTGTGGGATCATAAACCTGCAAAGGTAGTGGAAAATGAACACACAAAAATACTGTGGGACTTCTGAATCCCAACTAACAAAGTTTTGGAACACAATACACCAGACATCATGATTGTGGAAAAGAAAAAAAAACATTTGGATTATTGATGTCATCATACGAGGTGACAGCTAAATTGACAAACAACAACAAGAAAAACTCAACCATTATCAGGACCTCAGAATCAAACTGCAAAGGCTCTGGCATAAACCAGTACAGGTGGTCCCAGTGGTCATCAGCACACTGGGTGCCGTGCCAAAAGATCTCAGCCAGCATTTGGAAACAATAAACATTGACAAAATCACAATCTGTCAACTGCAAAAAGCCACTTTACTTGGATCTGCGCTCATCATTCAAAAATAAATAACACAGTCCTAGATGCTTGGTAAATGTTCAAGTTGTGATTTTGTGATATGGAATCTAGCATATAGATCTCGTTTGCTGTGGGCAGACCCCGACTGTCCAGGTGTTTTGGACTCCAACTCCCACAATTCCTCACAAGCTTCAGGCCCCTTCTTTTTCCCCCTTGGCCTCTTCAGTGCTCAGCCATAGCAGAGCACTTGATGAATCAACTTGGACACAGCATATTATTTGATAACACAGAAATGCTGGACCTCTCTAGCAACCACCATGTCAGACTACACAGAGAAACCATTGAAATCCACAAGCATGTGGACAATTTCAACAGAAAGGAAGAAACCATGAAAATGAACAAAATCTGCCTACCAGTATTAAAAAAAACCCTCTAAAATCAGTACAGTAAATAAAGATCACAGTCAAAAACGAGAATTCCAGGGAGGAAACAAACAGAGCCAGCTAACACCTACCAACAAAGGATCCCCCGGACAGGAAGCAGCCAGGCTTTGAAGCTGTTTTATTCGGGAATTGAATGTTTGTCTTTTATGTTTTGGAATATGCCCTAAGCCCCTCTGGCAACTACTACTTCTCCTCCTACTTCTTATCACTGCCTAGTTTCCAACAGACCTTACAACTTCTGAGGATGCCTGTCATAGATGTGGGTGAAATGTCAGGAGAGACTGCTTCTAGAACATGGCCATACAGCCTGGAAAACTCACAATAACCCAATGATTCTGGCCATGAAAGCCTTCAACAACACATTTCACACTTAATCAGCATTGTTGTGTTAGGGGCTCCTGGAAGCCTGCCTCAGCATGGGATAATTATGGTTTGCACTTTCCTTGTGGCTTTGTGCATACGCAGATGATTTCACACAAAAGAGGAATCTTCCCCAGCAAGGCTTTCCTTGTTCAATCGCCCACAGATTTTCATAGGGTGTGCATATTACAGAGCATGCCATCTCCCACTTGCAAGCCTTCTATGTTTTCCCACAACCCATGGTGGCTGGTGACTTTCGTTTCAGTCAGGCATTGGGTTTGTGTTGGGTTTTAGTTTAGTTAGTTTAGTTACACCCAAGGTGTAAACTGAATTTGTTTTGGGGATAGGGTTCAGCACCTTGGACAGAACCTTTAAAATTCAGACTACAACTGAAAGCAGATTTGTCATCATGCTGACTGGGAAATCACCAGCTGCCACTGCCTATTATTTATTCCATCTCCCCCACACCCCTTTTATTTATTTTATTATTATTATTATTATTATTATTATTATTATTATTATTATTTATAACCTGCCCTATCTCCCCTGGTGAGACATGTATCCAGAAAGCATTGAATAATTGCATAATGCCTTCCAAATGGCAATGGTAGTAATCATGCCTCTAGAAAGCGTCTTTCCTGATTTTAATGCCACTTATCTCCTAGGAAAAAGTTATTAGAAACTGTTAATCCCCTTTTTATTGATTAGTTAATTAGACTGCTTACTGTTTTCTAATAGCTTTTCCACCTCTAACTAGAAGTGACTTTGACATAAGGGAAGTTGTCTTTGTTTTCTTTTCTTTCTTTTTTTTAAACTGGAATATCTGATAACACATGCACCTAAATTGTATTATAATATATTTTTTTTAACCAGGAAATCAGCCTTATTCTTTAATACATCCAGAAAAGGTAAATCCAGTAGATTTTTTTTCAATTCAGAAACATTTCCACTATCAAGTTACGGGAGAATATATTTCAGTTGAAATCTGTTATTGTAACTTATAAACCTTTAAACCTGGCCCTATCCCTTGGATAAACAGAGAACAGGCCAGTTCCCTTCTCCCTATGGCACCCCTTGTTGTATTTAAAGAGTATGGTCATGTCACTCCTCAGTCTATCCTTCACCAAGCTGAACAAACCCAGCTCCTTCAACTGTTCCTGATATATTTTGTTTTCCATATCTCTTGTCATCCTTGTTGCCCTTCTCTGAACTTGCTTTGACTTGTCTGTTCCAATTTTATTTATTTATTGTGTCAGAAGCAAATTGAGGGAACAGTCATTTATTTATTTATTTATTTATTTACAGTTCTTATATTCCGCCCTTCTCACCCCGCAGGGGACTCAGGGCGGATTACAGTAAACACATATATGGCAAACATTCAATGCCAGTTTGACAAACAACGTTTAACAGACAAAGGCTATTTAACTTTTTTTTTTCTGGCCGCCAGGGGAGCTGCTGCTTTTCATCGTCCATCAACGACACCGATGAAGTTCCGCATTCCACATTCCCCGGAGTGGATTCTTCTTTATGGCCTCATAAATTAGTTAATTTAGCCTCCCCACACTTTAAGGTGGTACCTTATTTTCCTACTTGACAGATGCAACTGTCTTTCGGGTTGCAAAGGTCGACAACAGGCTACACACAATTGGTTGGAAACCCACTCCAACCCGGGCTGGCTTCGAACTCATGACCTTTTGGTCAGAGTGATCTTAATGCAGCTGACACTCAGCCAGCTGCGCCACAATCCCGGTGCATAATGTATTTAAAAACACAAACAAAGTTTAAAACTTGGCATTATGCTAAATGCGCGTTGTCCAGAAGCTGGCCACCTGGGAGTCCCTCCATTGTGCCTGTGGCAGGGCTCAGATTGCATTGTAGTAGGACAAGGGTTCTCAATCTGTGGGTACCCAGGTGTTTTGGCCTACAACTCTCAGAAATCCTAGCCCATTTACTGGCTGTTAGGATTTCTAGAACTTGAAGGTCAAAACATCTGGGCACCCACTGGTTGAGAACCACTATAGTAGGAGGTCTGCTCTTCTCTGCACTTGCATGTCGTGAATTCCACTTTGTAGCCCCATTTCTTAAGGCTAGCTCTGCATCCCGTGGTGCCAGCACCTTCCAAGTCACCCAGTCTTGTTCAGCACCTTCCAAGTCACCCAGTCTTGTTCAGCACCTTCCAAGTCACCCAGTCTTCTATGTGCCCAGGAGGGAGTATCTCATCTGGTATGAGCCACTGATTGAGGTTCCAGGTTTTAGCCTGCCACCTTTGGACACTTACTTGCTGGGGTGTTCCCGCAAGTATCTCTTAGGAAGCTATTTCTTGATTTAAGAGATTGGCTTGCTGGCTGATATCCAGAGGATGGGTTGGAGATGTTAATGCCTTGATCCTTTCATTACTGGCTGCTACATCCCAATGGATAAGAGGTGGTGCAATACTGGCTAAACAGTATAATTTCTTCAGTGATGATGTGGCATGTCTCATTTAGAGCCATGTCTACTGTTTTAACATGGTGAAATGTATTCCACACTGGGTCTATGTCAGCAGCAAAGTAGCAAAGTGCAAGGTCAGATGTCGTCACTGTGTCTGTTTATGAACCCCAGGTTGTTCCAATGAGGCATCCAGAACTAACCACAGTACTCCACATGAGCTTGACCAGTGCCAGATATAGCAGGAATATTGCTTTCTGTTTTGTTATAGAGTTTTAAAAGATCTTTAACATCTGAGAACTCTCCCACTGCTCTAAAGAAGAGAACAAAATAGGGTAGACATTTTTGTTCTGTCGTGGAAATCCTCATCAAGACCCTGGGCTGCCATTTACTTTCTAGAAGCAGAGAAGTTGCTATTAATCCTTGAAGGTCCATTGCAGAAGTAAAGCTGGCATATCTATCTGGTCTACTTTGATAGTAATGTGTTCAAATTCCCTTTAGTGTAATAATAATAATAATAATAATAATAATAATAATAATAATAATAATAATAATAATAGACACAGGGCCTTCTCAGTGGTGGTCCCTAGCCTATGGGACTCCCTCCCCAGTGAAATTAGATCTGCCCCATCCCTTCTAACCTTCAGGGGGAAAAACCCTGAAAACATGGCTCTGGTATCAGGCTTTTGGCCAGTAATGAGAGTAGTGCAATATGAGACACAAATTAATATAATGACGACTCAGACCGGACTTGTAATACGATTTGTATCATGTGATTTGAATTGATGTTTTAATGCTATGTTTGTAATAGGTTTGGTTTTAATGTTTTTGTTTATTTACCAATGTATGGCCTTGAATTTGTAAGGCCGCCCTTGTAATGCCGCCCTGAGTCCCCCTTGAAGGACAGGATATAATGTGTTTTAGAAGGACAGGATATAATGTGTTTTAGAAGGACAGGATATAATGTGTTTTAGAAGGACAGGATATAATGTGTTTTAGAAGGATAGGATATAATGTGTTTTAGAAGGACAGGATATAATGTGGTAAATAAATGCCTAAACAAATAAATACATTTATTACCTACCACCCCCTGTGAATTGAGGCAGGATACAGCATCATTAAAACAAGAGATAAACCTTATTAAAAGACATATAACAAGATATACAGAGTTAAAATACAAGTTAAAATCCACTAGTGATAATTCACAACTTAAAATTGACCAGGTAGCGGTGCACATGCTGGCCTACAAATCCCCCTTGTTAGTTGGGGGATCCTAGGAAATTTAGTTGATTTTGTATCCTAAAGTTGTTTTTGTGGTTGAGCCTCTAGTCTAGCCCCTTTGAATTGCTCTTTTTCTGGGCCATATGTGTGATCCTGAAGTAGAAAACTGGCTCCTGGATTTGCTGCAGTTTCCCACCCCTGCTTGGACGTCCAATATATTTCCCTGCAATTTGTGTCCATACAAAAAAAAAAGGCATTCCAAATCCAGGCAAAAAAACCCACAGGTTTTTGCCAACTTGATGTAGTATAGTGTGTTTAACAACACTGCCTGGCATGCTGCCAAGTAACCTACATGGGGGGAAAATCTATGTCAAGTGGTTGGTATACTAAGTAGTATTAATCTGAGCTCCTTGGATTGCATCCATTCTAAATATGAGAAAGAATGATTGACAACAGCACATTGTATACAGATGTAGAAGGGCTTGGCTTGGCTTTAGAAGGGTTTAGATTGCCACTGCAGATTTTGTTGCTGAAAAAGAGATCACACCATAGAAATGGAAAGCCATCAAGGCAAAACCTGTGGGGATTATTTTACTTTATTTGTGAAGAGCTTGGAAAGTTACTTTTCAGGTTGCAATCCCTAGAATTCTCAATGGAGCATGGAGCTAAAAAAGTAAATTTCAAATATATTTTTAATGTGTTGCAGTCAAATTGGAAACTGGAAATCTCCCTTCTGAGTAACTGTAGGTAAGATCCAGGAGGTGTGATGGCCTTTTAAAATCTATACATCGAGTTCATTGGAAGCAGTTTTGCTGAAAGGAAAGGAAACTGTATGAACAGATGGTTTTCTTTAATATCTCTTAGTAGATTCCTTGTGTGCCATTGGATAAATTAAAATCTGATATAAAACGCAATCTACTCAGCCTTAACATATTTTATCCTTGGACCATACTTTCCTACTTACACTCTCTCACACACATACTCCCATGTCTCAAATGGCTTTTTATCTATTATACTTAATATCCTTTCTTGTTGAGTCCAGTATGGTTTTACTGTGGTGTATCATGTTAGGTTTTAAATAAGTTATTGCCAGTAATGTTGACCAAATCTGGAAGCAGATTGGGTGGTGGGTAGTAGACAAATATTGCATGTAATATGTGTAAGAAAGAAATAGGAGGAGGACATCTTACATTACAATCGAAGCTGTGGATCGGGGTGAGCTTCCACTGTTAGCCCTACTTCCTGCCAACCTAGCAGGAGCAATAAATAAGTTATTATCAGTAATGTTGACCAAACCTGGAAACAGATTGGACAATGAGTAGTACACAAATATTGCATGTATATTTTTCTTTTGTAATATGGGTGAGAAGGAAATAGGAGGAGGAATCTTACATTACAATCAAAGCTGCAAGCCGGGATGAGCTCCCATTGTTAGCCCTGGCTCCTGCCAATCTAGCAGTTCAAAAATATGCAAATGTGAGTAGATCAATAGGTACCACTTTGGTGGGAAGATAATAAAGGCACCCATGCAGCCATGCTAGCAAAACACGACCAGGAGGTGTCTACAGACAACAGGCTCCTCAGCTTGGAGATGGAACAAAGCACCTCCCCTTGGCCAGAATTGAGCACTGCCTCCAGAAAGCCAGAAATGAAATGTCACTGTTATTCCACTGTAATAAAAAAAATTGAATGTTTGCCTATCTGTGTATGTTGTAATCTGCTCTGAGTACCCTCGGGGAAATAGAGCGGAATATAAATAAAGTGTTGTTGTTGTTGCTTTCACTATAAAAGAGAATTTTGCAATAGAAAAAAGGACAGGTGGGTTCAATGAACCTAGCTAAGCATACATTCTGTGTACATTTCTTCTTAAGGGGAATGCTTCTATTTGTGTTGGTCAGATGTTTTCTAAACTGTTGTTTTGCCTCTGCTGATAGGATTACTACCAAAATAAACTAAAGCTAGCTTTAATAGGCCAGAGCCTTTTTGGACAAGAAGTGTACCAGCACTTACAAAAAGAAGGACACAAAGTTGTGGGAGTTTTCACAGTCCCAGATAAAAATGGAAAGGCTGATCCTTTGGGTGAGTACATATCTTGGGGTGAGAAGGGTGGGATATAAATAAATAAATAAATAAATATGTTCCTGAGAATTATACACATTTCCACAGATACTGTTGAGCTGCAGCTCCCAGCAGCCTTTGCCAGTATAGTTAGTGTTGAAGAATGCTTGGACTTGCAGTCCAGTAACATCTGGAAGGCCTCACAATTCTTGTTGAGCTCTACATTAACTGCAACATTTATTATTTAGCAGAGATGAGGAACCTGGAGCCTTCCAACTCTCATAACTCTTGCCACCATGAGCCATACTGAGGGATTATGAGATTTGCAGTCCAAAATTGCAAATATGCCCTATATCCATGTTCCCCCCCATGTACTAAACTGAAAAGATATCTGACACTTGGGTTTCTTATTCCTTGTAGGGGGAGTGACACAATACATATATATGAATAATGAATAACACATTAATTAATACTTTTAAGCAAGTTATAAACTGAATTAGGTATAAATATTTTAAATGCACATGGTATAGTGGTTTGAATGTTGGACAGGGTTTGAATCTACACTCAGGGCCCTTCTACACAGCCCTATATCCCAGAATATAAAGGCAGAAAATCCCACAATATCAGCTTTGAACTGGATTATTTGAGTCCACACTCCAATAATGTGGGATTTTCTGCCTTAATATTCTGGGCAATAGGGCTATGTGGAAGGGCCCTCAGTCATGGAAACATATTGGGTGATTTCAGACAAGTCACATATATTCATCCTTAGATGAAAGAAACGGCAATCCTCCTCTGAACAAATCTTGCCAAGAAAACCCCATAATAGGATCAATATAAATTGGAATGGTTTGAAGGCACAAAACAACAACAAATGCTTCATACAAACTTGCACATAAAATCTATAAGAAGTACTGCATTAACTATTATGAATGACATACCCAAACACATACACATCTATGTGTGTATGCATGTATGTGTACATACACACACATTTTTAAAGGATTTTTTTAAGGGTAAGATTGCTCAAAGGGAGTTTGCATTTGCTTTTCTCTGAGCTGAGAGAATCTTGTTTGGCCCAATGAGTTTCCATGACACTACTCTAGTCCAAGGCTCAAACTACTACACTACTCTAGCTCTCTCAGAAAAGTTATTCCCCAGAATTTGTGACTATAAACAAATAGTAACTTGGAAGCAGAAAGGAAGCTTACGGAGTATGCAAGCTGAGGTTCTTCCACACATTCCTCAAGTTCTCTTTTCATTGCTGGATTGCCATGATTAAGGGAGCATCTACACAGTCAAATTAATGCACTTTGATGCCTCTTTAACTGCTACGGCTCAATGCTAATGAATTATGGAAGATTTAGTTTCCCAAGGTCTTTGACCGTGGCAGTTAAAGTAGTGTCAAATGGCATCATTACTACAGTGTATATACCCCTAATACAGCATTGATAGAAACTAAAGTATGTTCAAGTAACATTGTAAGAAATCATTATTTGTTTTTAAATGTTTGTGTAAATCCAGCGTTTCAGTATTTTCAATAATCTACTATATTTCTAAACATGTAATTTCTCTTGATTCCTAGCATCTGCTGCAGAAAAGGATGGAACACCAGTGTTTAAATTCCCACGGTGGAGAGTTAAGGGCAAGACTCTCCCAGAAGTCATTGATGCTTACAAATCAGTTGGGGCTGAGTTGAACGTCCTTCCATTCTGTACACAATTCATTCCCATGGATGTTATTGATAACCCACAGCATGGATCTATTATTTACCATCCATCCATCCTGCCCCGCCACAGAGGAGCATCTGCCATTAATTGGTAAGTACAGTAGGTAATCCCCGCCCCACCTCGCTACCACCACTATTGGCATTGTGTTTCTATGATGGTGAGGTTTCGTGCTCATGTGAGTCAGGAGGCTATGTTCACGGCAGCAGTGCTCTTAGTAGAGACTTTTGCTGAGGATCCAGGCTAAATGGGTCAAACTGGGCAGCAGCAGTAGTGGGGAGTGACTTTAGTAGAGAATCGGTCAGAGAAAACAGCAGAACCACTTTAGTTAACACTTGTTAGTACTATACATAGGGAAACATGGTAGATCTTTTTTTGAGCTTTTGCTACGAAAACTCTATGATGCAACTTTCCAAAACGAACAAGATATAGTGCCAGAAGAGAAAACTGGGGAAGAGCACAGTACATCTATGAGTTGTTCTGTGGGGAATGATGCAACTAGACTCAATGGGGGACGCCTGGCTCGACGGTGTGAAAAAGATCTTGGAGTCCTCATGAACAACAAGTTATACATGCACCAACAATGCAATGCAGCAGCAAAAAAAGTAAATGGAATTTTGGCCTGCATAAATAGGAGAATAGTGTCTAGATCCAGGGAAGTCATGCTACCCTTCTGTTCTGCCTTGATCAGACCACACTTGAAATATTATGTCCAATTCTGAGCAGCACAATTGAAGGGAGATGTTGACAAGTTGGAATGTGTCCAGAGGAGGGTGATTAATATGATCAAGGGTCTGGAGAACAAGCCCTGTCAGGAGCGGCTTAAAGAGCTTGGCATGTTCCTGCAGAAAAGAAGGCTGAGAGGAGACATAATGGCCATCTGTAAATATGTGAGGGGAAGTCATGGAGAGGAGGGAGCAGAATATCAAGGGAAAAAATCCCACATTATCTGATTTTGGACTCAGAAAACCCAGTTCAAAACAGATATTGTGACATTTTCTGCCTTGATATTCTGGGATATAGGGCTGTGTGGAAGGGCCCCTATCTATATTACCATAATTCAGGTTTATAGCTCAAACTATAGAGATAGAAGTTGAAAGATTTTGTACTAGCATCCACGTGGAAATTGTACACCAAAACAAGACTTGTTAGGCAGCTGGAATGCAAAAGTAGACAACATCATGACATTCCAGCATTTCCTGGCCACTATTTTAGGTGGTATAAGTTTATTTTAGGCTTTAGTGGGCTCTAGGGTTATGGGAAACAGACCACCACATTTGCTGCTGGCTTTGGTTGGTTATCACCAGTTTTGGGACTAAAATGGACCTATGGGTTGTACTTTGTCCATCACTGTTGTAGTTTTCTAGCCCTGCTGCATTCTAGTCCATTCTGAAGTTTGCAGTGCTACCATTTATTTGCTTTATAGTTCAAATAATGAAAAGTGTTCATGTTACATATTAAGAAAAATATTGACTCTTCATATCTCTTTTACTTATTTTCAGGACTTTAATTCATGGAGATAAAAAGGCTGGCTTTACAATTTTCTGGGCAGATGATGGTCTGGACACAGGGCCCATTCTTCTGCAGAGGGAATGTGATGTTGGTCCAAATGATACTGTTGATGATCTGTACAATCGGTTCCTTTTCCCAGTCGGAATAAAGGCTATGGTAAGACTGCGTGAGGTGATGGTTTGAGCATTGGACCATTCAAATTCTTAGTCAGCCATGAAACCCAGTGGTTGACTTTGGTCAAGTCTCACTACCTAAATCCAAATGAAGGCAAATGCAAATCCTCTCTGAGCAAAGCCCCTTAGGGTCACCAGAAATCAGAAATGACTTGGAGACACACAACAACAGCAACAACAAGTCTACTTGGACAGTTTTCCCCAATCTGGTGTCTTCCAGCTGTGTTGGACTGATAGTTGTGTGCTGAAAGCAAACTTCTGGAGATTGTAGTTCAATATAACTGTTGGGAAAAGCTAATTTGAAACACAGATGGTGTGAAAATGATACCTCGAAATACCATTGAAGAATTTCAATCTAGCAAGAAATAATGCAGCAAGTTGTAGACACATTTGATTGTAGTTATGCATGATATTTATATAGGGCTTTTTTTAGTCATCACAACTTCACATATATGATTTCAAGAATTTCCCAACAGTCCTCCAAAGCATGATAATGTGGAACTGAGGCTATTCAAGAAGCATTGGAATATGCAGAAGTAAATAGAATCTGCACTGAATTTGAGGTTACATTCTTCCTATGTGATGACATGTCCTGAAATTAATACATGATCATAGATACTACTGCCGAGTAGAGCTTGGAAATATTACTTCTTGGAAAAGCACTCTAAGAATCCCCCAGTTTTCATGGCAGTTTCCCAAGCTCTACTTGATAATCATACCGAGTCCAGAATTATTTAATCTTGTATGCTTATTGGAACATGGACTTGGAATATTAATTAGAAGCCAGAATATTTAGATTTGTATCACAAAACAGATTGGTTATTTAATCTTCCTCCTTAGGTAGAAGCTGTACAGCTCATTGCTGATGGCAAAGCTCCTCGTATCCCCCAGTCTGAAGAAGGAGCAACTTATGAAGGCATCCAGAAAAAAGAAAATGCAGAGGTCTTGTATTCAACAGTGTGTTTGTCCATGTGTGCGCGCATGTGATCCTTATTTGGATTTTATTCCAGCAGCAGGTTATTGAATGTTGAATGTACTATGACTTTACCCATTTCAGGAAGTGTGCCTTAATATCAGAACTTGACAAAGTTATTTTTTAGACTAAACTCTTCAAAATCCAGGGCAGATCTTCCTAAGATGTCTCACCTTTTAACCCACGCAGAAGTTGAATGGATTCCAAGGAAGTGCAATATGACTCCACAGAAGCCATTTATAAGACCATGTAACAAAATTTGAAACATGGCCCTGGTTTGAAAGTGCTATTTCCTGTTTAATTGCACAGTACTTACTTTGAAAATAGTTGTTATATTCCAGAAACTTTGTTTTTGTGGCTACCACAAACTATGTCGAATTGGTTGAGACTCTTATGAGATATTCATTGGGAAACTATAGCAAAATGTGCTGCAGGAAGTCCCACAAAAACATTTTTTTTGCAGTTTAATAAACTTTTTTCCAGATTGTTATGATAGAATCAATTAGGAAATTATATTTATAATGCAGGAACAAAAATTATGTTACACAGTGTAATTAGAAACATAATGACTCGTATGGCATTTACAGTATGAGATCAATTTATATGGAACAGATGCTCATTCCTTAGACTTAGCACATGGAAATATAGATGTATTAGCCATTTTCTATGAAATATTTGGGGGATGGGTTAGAAAGATCCTTTCCAAAAATTAAGACTATAAACAGCATGGTTTGCTGGAAGACTATAATTCTGTATATTCATGTTGTTAAAAGCAAACACCATCTGTTGAAGCCATGTGGATTCCTCACGACAGGGATTAGAAAAGTGCAGCCTATTGTGTCCTTCATTTTCCAAGATATTCACACAGCCCTTAGAGTCACCTCTCAAATATGCAGGGAGTCCCCGGGTTACAAACATCCAACTTACAAATGACTCACAGTTAAGAATGAGGATGAGTCTCCAGGAAGGGGGAGAAAAATCTACCGCTTGGAAGGGAAATTCACTCCTGAAAAAGTTATCCTGAAGAAAAGGTGTCTTTTTAAGCTTTGGATAGCATAGGGAAGGGTTAACACCTCTGTGGTGGTGTTGTTTGTTTGTTTGTTTTTTGTGTTTCTGCCCCTGTTCACTTTCTGTCCCTGTGATAATTGGGTTTTTTTAAAATTGGTTTGTTGTATAAACAAGGATTGGTAATAAAGCTTCAGTGAGAGACACATTTTTCCATTCTTAACTGTGAGTCATTTGTAAATTGGATATTTGTAACTCTGGGACTGCCTGCATATGTAAGATGGAGACGCTATGACTGTGTGAGTATCTTTGAAAATTAAGAATGCAAAAGTCTGGGTATCTTAGAAAATGAAGAGTGCAACTTCTTAGGTTCCCAGATCTTGTGTACGCAATGCAGTGATCGCATTCTTCATCAGTAGTTTAGCAAGTGAAATCTAGTTCTTTATGTGTATGTTGTGAGGTTGCATCTCATGATATTGCAACACTCCCTTAGAAGTTGAACTGTTTCTCTTATAAATGAAACAATTATTTGTTATTGTTATGTTTGTTGTGGTTGTTATTTGGAGGGTAACAGGCTGGTTGGTGATTTCTGTTAAGCATAAAAATACAAAAAGGGTCACAAATTTCTCTCTAAACTCTGAAGCAGCATTTCTCAACCTGGGGGTCAAGACCACTGGAAGTGTTGCGAGGAGGTGTCGTAGGGGTCACCAAAGACCATCAGAAAACACACTATTATCTGTTGGTCATGGGGGTTCTATGTGGGAAGTCTGGACAAATTCTATAATTGGTGGGGTTCAGAATGCTCTTTGATTGTAGGTGAACTATGCATCCCAGCAACTACAACTCCCAAATGGCAAGGTTTATTTTCCCCAAACTCTACTAGTGATCACATTTGGGCATATTGCATATCCGTGCTAAGTTTGGTCGAGATCCATTATTGTTTGAGTCCACAGTGCTCTCTGGATGTAGGTGAACTACAACTCCAAAACTCAAGGTCAATGCCCACCAAAGCCTTCCAGTGTTTTTCGTTGGTCATGGGAGTTCTGTGTGCTAAGTTTGGATCAATTCCATTGTTGGTGGAGTTCAGAATGCTCTTTGATTGTAGATGAACTATAAATCCTAGCAGCTACAATTCCCAAATGACAAAATCAACCCCTGCAACCCCACCAGTATTCAAATTTGGGTGTATCGGGTATTTGTGCCAAATTTGGTCCAGTGAATGAAAATACATCCTGCATTTTAGATATTTACATTACAATTCATAACAGTAGCAAAATTGCTGTTATGAAATAGCAACAAAAATAATTTTATGGTTGGGAATCACCACAACATGAGGAACTGTATTAAGGGGTCACGGCATTAGGAAGACGGAGAGCCACTGCTCCAAAACAATGTCCCTTCCCCCAGTAACAATGCTCTTAGTTATTGTTACTTCTAGAAAGTAACAAAGTAATCTATTATCTGTAATGCTTTACTGTTGGCTTAATGATGTTCAAACTTGTAGCCTTTTATTGTTGCAATATATTACTGTGTGTGGTTTATTTTGGACCAAGCGGTCTCACTTTGTGCACACTGTCTCACTGCCTTATGTTATGTTTATTAACAGCCAGGTGATATGCCCTCTGCTTCACATCCACATGAATATTAATCTCAGCTCCCCTGTCATTGCCTGATTAACAGATATCTGAAGGGGTTTGACAGAATGAAATCACATACATAGGTAGGAATAGTTCAACTTCTGTTTCAATTATTCCTAGATTCCCTGGGACCAACCAGCATCTGCTCTGCACAACTGGATCCGAGGGCATGATAAAGTACCTGGGGCCTGGGCAACAATTGATGGCCAGGTAAACATTGTAAATTCCGAGCATCTTCTTTCTCCTCCTTGGTATAAATATTAATACAGATAAATATTTTATCACACACAAGGTTCAGAACATTATAGGTAAACTGCTGAAAGGACAAGGAATACGTCCAGTGGCAGGTAGTGGTTCCAATGCCCGTACACTTAAGAGCTATCCAATGCACTGTGTCTAACTGTGACACTTTGGATTTCTCCTTTACATTTCAGACTAAAATCTACTGCTCTGCTGATATGGGATTCAGAAGCTGCCATTGTTCTAGAGAGCAAAAATGCCAATACTTTGGATTTCTCTCTTGACTCAAACATTGCCTGAAGGACATTGAAGTCAGTGTTCGTTTGAATGAATGTGTTCATTTGCAATATTTTTCTTCTATGGCATAATTTTACAATTTTAAATGGGATTTCTCCTTTGAAGTGCTACTGAAAAAAAAAGTATTTATGTTTACCTACCCCTATCAGTAGGAGCCCCTGGTAGTGTAATGGGCTAAACCCTTGTGCCAGCAGGACTGCTGACCGAAAGATCAGCAGTTTGAATCCAGGGAGCAGGGTGAGCTCCCATCTGTCAGCTCCATCTTCTCATGCAGGGACATGAGAGAAGCCTTCCATAGGATGGTAAAACATCTGGGCATTCCCTGGGCAACATCCTTGCAGATGGCCAATTCTCTCTCAGCAGAAGTGACTTGCAGTTTCTCAAATCGCTCCTGACATGAAAAAAAACCCCAAATATATCAGTTTCATACTCCCCAGAATTTCACATATGAAAATCAGGACACATTTGGCAAAGCAATATCATAATGTGATGAAGATAACAAAGGTTTTTAATGAAGGGGAGCTTACAAGACAAAAATGCTGCAGGAGTTTACTGTTTCCTGAATCTATTGGGAAGGGCAAGTTTTCCCCTGTCCAATTGCTGTTAACTGAGTGCAGACTACTTTTGGATTTTGAACTCAGTCTGCAGCAATTGAGGTAAGCCAAGGTGAAAGGGGGAAACTGGGAGGAAGGGAGAGATATTGGGACATTTTTGTAGTAGCTGAAAAAAGTGGGATGATGGGAGATTGATCATGATTGTTTTTGTTAGATCAGAAGAGTTGGAGCATTGGTAGGAAGCTATTTTTATTAATTTACTTGCACAGTAGTCAGGGCCGGCCCGTCCATTACTCGAAGTAAGCGGTGGCAGAATACTTTTTTTGCCAGGGGGCGCTGTTTTGTCCTTAGGCCACGCCTCCTCCTGGAGGCCCCATGCGCCCTCAACAGCCTTCTAATGGAGAAGCGCAGGCCCCGCCCACTAGGCGAGAGGGAAGTCCTCCCTCCACGTGCTGCCAGGAGGCAGCCAGCCAGGCTCTTTCGCTTTCCCTTTCCTTCCCTGCAGCTGAGCCTGGACCCCTCTCAGGGCAGCAAGGAGGCCTGGTTAAAAGGTACTGCACAAAATGTCAGGGTCTATTTTTCCCAACCCCCTCTCCAGTATTTTCTGTTAGTCATGGAAGTCCTGTATGCCAAGTTTGGTTCAATTCTATTGTTGGTGGAGCTCAGAATGTTCTTTGGTGCTTGGTAAACTGCAATTCCCAAATGTCAGGGTCTATTTTTCCCAACCCCCTCTCCATTATTTTCTGTTAGTCATGGAAGTCCTGTATGCCAAGTTTGGTTCAATTCTATTGTTGGTGGAGCTCAGAATGTTCTTTGGTGCTTGGTAAACTGCAATTCCCAAATGTCAGGGTCTATTTTTCCAAACCCCCTCTCCATTATTTTCTGTTAGTCATGGAAGTCCTGTATGCCAAGTTTGGTTCAATTCTATTGTTGGTGGAGCTCAGAATGTTCTTTGGTGCTTGGTAAACTGCAATTCCCAAATGTCAGGGTCTATTTTTCCCAACCCCCTCTCCAGTATTTTCTGTTAGTCATGGAAGTCCTGTATGCCAAGTTTGGTTCAATTCTATTGTTGGTGGAGCTCAGAATGTTCTTTCGTGCTTGGTAAACTGCAATTCCCAAATGTCAGGGTCTATTTTTCCCAACCCCCTCTCCAGTATTTTCTGTTAGTCATGGAAGTCCTGTATGCCAAGTTTGGTTCAATTCTATTGTTGGTGGAGCTCAGAATGTTCTTTGGTGCTTGGTAAACTGCAATTCCCAAATGTCAGGGTCTATTTTTCCCAACCCCCTCTCCAGTATTTTCTGTTAGTCATGGAAGTCCTGTATGCCAAGTTGGTTCAATTCTATTGTTGGTGGAGCTCAGAATGTTCTTTGGTGCTTGGTAAACTGCAATTCCCAAATGTCAGGGTCTATTTTTCCAAACCCCCTCCCCATTATTTTCTGTTAGTCATGGAAGTCCTGTATGCCAAGTTTGGTTCAATTCTATTGTTGGTGGAGCTCAGAATGTTCTTTGGTGCTTGGTAAACTGCAATTCCCAAATGTCAGGGTCTATTTTTCCCAACCCCCTCCCCAGTATTTTCTGTTAGTCATGGAAGTCCTGTATGCCAAGTTTGGTTCAATTCTATTGTTGGTGGAGCTCAGAATGTTCTTTGGTGCTTGGTAAACTGCAATTCCCAAATGTCAGGGTCTATTTTTCCCAACCCCCTCTCCATTATTTTCTGTTAGTCATGGAAGTCCTGTATGCCAAGTTTGGTTCAATTCTATTGTTGGTGGAGCTCAGAATGTTCTTTGGTGCTTGGTAAACTGCAATTCCCAAATGTCAGGGTCTATTTTTCCTCAACCCCCTCTCCAGTATTTTCTGTTAGTCATGGAAGTCCTGTATGCCAAGTTAGGTTCAATTCTATTGTTGGTGGAGCTCAGAATGTTCTTTGGTGCTTGGTAAACTGCAATTCCCAAATGTCAGGGTCTATTTTTCCCAACCCCCTCTCCAGTATTTTCTGTTAGTCATGGAAGTCCTGTATGCCAAGTCTGGTTCAATTCTATTGTTGGTGGAGCTCAGAATGTTCTTTGGTGCTTGGTAAACTGCAATTCCCAAATGTCAGGGTCTATTTTTCCCAACCCCCTCTCCAGTATTTTCTGTTAGTCATGGAAGTCCTGTATGCCAAGTTTGGTTCAATTCTATTGTTGGTGGAGCTCAGAATGTTCTTTGGTGCTTGGTAAACTGCAATTCCCAAATGTCAGGGTCTATTTCTCCCAACCCCCTCTCCAGTATTTTCTGTTAGTCATGGAAGTCTGTATGCCAAGTTTGGTTCAATTCTATTGTTGGTGGAGCTCAGAATGTTCTTGGTGCTTGGTAAACTGCAATTCCCAAATGTCAGGGTCTATTTTTCCCAACCCCCTCTCCAGTATTTTCTGTTAGTCATGGAAGTCCTGTATGCCAAGTTTGGTTCCGTTCTATTATTGGTGGAGTTCAGAATGCTCTTTGGTGCTTGGTGAAGCATTCTCACCTGATGTTTCACCCACATCTATGGCAGGCATCCTCAAGAGGCTGTGAGGTCTGTTTGTAACTAGGCAAGTGGGGTTTGTATATCTGTGGAATGTCCAGGGTGGGAAAAAGAACTCATGTCTGCTTGAGGTAAGTGTGAATGTTGCAATTGGTCATCTTGATGAGTATTTAATGGCCTTGCAGCTTCGAAGCCGAGCTAGTTGCTGCCCAGGAATCCTTTGTTGGGAGTGGTTAACTGGCCCTGATTGCTTCATGTCAGGAATTCCCCCCCTTTTTTAGTGTTGCTCTTTATTTATTGTTCTGATTTTAGAGGGTTATTTTAGAGGGTACTGGTAGCCAGATTTTGTTCCTCTGAGGTTGCCTGCCATAGATGTGGGGAAAATGTCAGGAGAGAATGCTTCTGGAACATGGCCATACAGCCCAGAAAACTCACAGCAACTCAGTGATTCTGGCCATAAAAGCCTTTCACAACACATTATTATGTTTATTTATACCCTGCTTTTTCTCTCCCCAAGAAGACTCAAGTTGGCTTAGATTAAAAACATTTCAGTACAGTTTAAAATCCACAAATATGCAAACATTAAAATGGAATTAAATTTCATTGGTATTTTAAAAATTCAGTTAAAATCCATAAAAAACATATCCAAAACTAAAAACTGCAGCAGACCCTGACTTGATCTTTAAAACCTTTTAAAGCCTGCATTAGATTACCAAATGTAATGTCCCTTTATACACACTGCTTTATATTAATTTCCCCAGTATTCCTTTATCTGATTTGTCATCAACACACTTAATGGACTGCAAAAATATGATCCTGTGTGATTCCTTTCCATTTCCAAGTCGCCCAGTCCTCTGTGTGCCCAGGGGGGAGTCTCTCATCTGGTATCAGCCATGGGCTGAGGTGCTGGGTTTGAGCCTGCCACTTTTGGACTCTCGCTTGCTGAGGTGTTCCAGCGAGTGTCTCTGTAGATCTTAGAAAACTTATAAAAACGTATTTAAGATCAACTTTGAGTCAAGAGTGCTTGAGTGGACTAGTAACCTTGGCCATTGAAAATGGCTTGTTGGATGAAATGGAAACAGATATAATAGTACACGAGTTTTCAAAATTGAAAGCCAGAAAAATCTCTTTTTAATTTTAAAAGTGTTCAAGTTTATTTGTGTTAAGGAAAACTGGATGTTAAAGTATCCACTAAAGTGAAGGGGCCAGAGGCTGACTATGTTGCCACACCCATTGTAATGGTCCAGGCTGGCATGGCACTTTTGAAGGACAAGAGTTCACTTTCTTAAAAAGGAGGTGTCTATTCTCCTGGGGCTGCGTTCTCCAAAACAAATCTGATTGACAGACCCAACAAGCATGGGATTGAGTTCTCTGTTATTAGCAAACCCCTAGTCTGAAAAATCTTCTCTGAAGAGACAGCATGACCAGGAAACCTTTGTGTAGTACTTGTAGACCAAAAATAACAACAAAAACTTAAAATTGTTGCTAAGTTTAATAAAATATTTGCATTCTTAAAAAAGTTAATTTGTGTAATGTAACTATATAAACATAATGTTGTAAGTAAATTTCTGGTTTGTAAGGTAACTCTTTTATTCACCTCTACCTTCTACGTTTTATTTTTCAGGGATTGGTTGGGGGGAGGGGGCGCCAAAATAATGTTTGCTTACCATTGAAAATTACCTAGGGCCGGCCCTGACAGTAGTATTGGCACAGACTGGCAAAAGTTGTTCCATCTAAACCTGAGTACATTAGGGATGGAATCTGTGGCCGCTTCCCAATTAACAAAACCCAATTCTGTTTCCCTATTTCTTATTACAGATGGTTACTTTCTATGGATCCTCATTACTGGAGGGCTCAGCGCCTCCGGGTGAAGAACTGGCAATAAAAGGTGCACCAAAACCAGGACTTGTAACTAAGAATGGCCTAGTTCTGTTTGGCAATGATGAGAAAATGGTAATTTTTTTGAGAAAACCAACAGTAATTGACAGCACAGATAGATACCAGACAGAAAATATATATTGTTGGGTGAATTTATATAAAAAGTACTGTGAGCAAAAAAAAAGCAAGAAGAAGTTTTTAGAACAAGATTTAGAACCAGATGCTAAAAGAGGGATGAGCAATTGTGGAAAGATAGGGAGCTATTGGTCACCTTAGAAATCTTGGAAGGATGTATCCCCATCACTCCCACCAAACCTTATGGGACATTTTCACCATGTTTTGTGGGCTCCCTAGACAGAGGAGAGACTTTGTTTAAGAGGAAAAGAACAGATATGCCTTTCTGTTATAAAAAGGGCTGTGTGTGGAGGGCAGGCAGGCTGTACCTCCCACATTCCCAAAAGGATATTTGCAGGCCAAAAACATTTTAAAGTCACTAGATAGATAGATAGATAGATGATAGATAGATAGATAGATAGATAGATAGATAGATAGATAGATAGATAGATAGATAGATACACACACATACACACACACCTGGGGGTCCAGAGAGTCTTCAGATATGGTATAAATGTCCTCTACATCCTTTGGAGATAACTCAAAAATGGGGCAGCACTTTACTGACTCCTGTATTATTACAGACACACTTCTGTTTACAAAGTCTTTCTGTGCATTCACAGCAGACAGCATTGGTATTGGGAAGGTGTTTTAGGTTTTAAAGGACAGAAAAAACTGAGGTGTTCTATTGCTGGGTTGCAGTAGTATGTCTGTAGTCAACAATGCAGTGCAGCTAGAGCTGAGAGAAATTGCAAATCTGCTCTATCTGATCCTACTGTACCTACAATAGGAGAAGTAAATTGTAGCTAACTGCAGAAGCCTTTACTGGCTAGGTGTGAACAGCAGATAAGAGAGAAAGAGGAAATCAGACAAGTCTGCCTCACTAACTACCCACACCACTTTCCAAATGGAAATCTAAGAAAAGTGGAGACTGGTGAAACAAAAAGTCACAACTGGATGCATTTTGGATGCTTAGAAGGTTCAAAAATGTTTGTTTCCTTATGCAAAGCTTATTTGACTTGTTTCAAATATGCATAGTTTTGGCTTAAAGGTTTGATGAAACATATTGATCTGCCACCTTCCTCCTCCTCCTCCTCCTCTTTTACGGAGTGGAAACCTATAGCTATGTTTTCCATGTTATTTGTGTCTCTGGTATCAGATTTTTTTGTTACAAGACACAAATGTCTAGAAATAGATAAACTTGTTAAATGAAGTACACTTTTTCTACCCTACTAACTGGATTTCTATTTTTTCCCTCTTCTAGTTGCTAGTAAGAAATCTACAGTTTGAGGATGGAAGAATGATCCCAGCATCTAAATATTTTTCTACTGATGATATTTCTACCATAGAACTGACTGAAGAGGAGACGAAGATGGCAGAAGATATCAAAGTAAATTATTGCTTGATTTGAAAGAGGAAACCCACAAAAATGTTTATTTAAATCTGGTTGTGTGTCAGTGCGGATATTCTTTGTCTTTTAAATTTTGGACAGTCCTCATAAATTTGTTGAATGCTTTCTAAATAAATGAATAAGAAAGGAAAACAAGGGAATATGAAAAAAAAATGTCAAAACGATCCATAGGAATGTTCTTGGAATCAGTGGGTTGCTGTGTGTTTTCCAGGCTGTATGGCTATGTTCCAAAAGCATTCTCTCCTGACGTTTCACCCACATGTATGGCAGGAGAGAATGCCTCTTGAACATGGCCATACCGGCTGGAAAACTCACAGCAACCCAATGATTCTGGGCATGAAAGCCTTCGACAACACATTGGTAAATTCTGTTGATCCAAGAGGGCTCTTCTAGTTGAGATTATTAATTAGATTCACATCGTAGTATTTATTTATTCATTTTAGTTTTTTTTTAAAAAAAGAAACTGTTACTTTATTGAAAAAGCAATACAGTTGAACTCTTAAGGTATTATATGCAGAATGCTCTCAGCAGGAGCAGAAAGAAAGGGTCTGTAGGTAGCTGGAGAGTGGTAGCCGTTTAAGTGAACATCATACCCTCCAACTTTCCCAATTTGGCAGGAAGAGTGCCAATGAACTCTCTGCTATGCTACTTTTCAGCTACTTTCAAAATGTTATCCTTTTTTGCCACTTTGTCCCCAGTTTGATTCTACTGGCGCAGGCTGAGTTCAAAGTGCAAAAGTAGTTTCACTCAGCAGAGGGAGAATTTTGTCCTTCCCTATAGACTCAGGCAAAAGCAAAGTACTGCCATCTCTCCTAAAAAAAGGTAAAGGTAGTCCCCTGACATTAAGTCCAGTCATGTCTGACTCTGGGGTGTGGTGCTCGTCTCCATTTCTAAGCCAAAGAGCCAGCGTTGTCCGTAGACACCTCCAAGGTCATGTGGCCGCCATGACTGCATGGAGTGCCGTTACCTTCCCGCTGGAGCGGTACCTATTGATCTACTCACATTTGCATGTTTTTGAACTGCTAGGTTGGCAGAAGCTAGGGCTGACAGCAGAAGCTCACTCCACTCCCCGGAATCGAACCTGTGACCTTTCGATCAACAAGCTCAGCAGCTCAGTGCTTTAACCCACTGCGCCTTCACCACACTCTGATGCTGCTTGACCACACATCTCCTGTTTTTCATCTGTGAAATGCTGGAGGGTATGAGAATCAGTGTGGTGTAGCAATCTGAGCATTGGACTAAAACTATGGAGACCAGGGTTCAGTTCTTTGGACATGGAAACCCACAGGGTGTCCTTGGGCAATATTTATTTATTTATTTAAAACGTTTATATCCCAATCTTCTCTACCACCATAGAGGGACTAAGACCGGCACATTCTTAGCTCCAGAAATCTTCATGATAGATTTCTCATAAGTTGGGAACATCTTGAAGGGACACCACATAAGGAGGCGTAGAAGGGCAGGGCATACACTCTCTCCCTCTGAACAAATTATGCCATGGGCACTCTGCCAAAAATCACCTTAGGACAAGTCTGCACAACCTGTGCCCCTCCAATTGTCTTAGATTCCAATTCCCAGAAGCCCTAGCCAACTTGCCCAATGGCCCAGGTATTCTGGGAGCTGAAGTCCAAAACACCTGCGGTACTCCGTAAGTCAGAAATGACTTGAAAGCACACAGTAACAACAAAAGCAACAATGGTTTTAGTTTCTCAGGAGTTTCTGGATGTCTTATAGCCCAAGTCGGGGTAGACAGTGGGGCCTGAATCAAAGATGTAAAATCTTTGAATGTGTAATTTGGAACCAAAAAGCCTTGTCTGAAATATTTTCCATATCTTGCAGTCCATTTGGAAAGGAATTTTGAGTAATGTGGCTGTCCTGGAGGATACCACTGACTTCTTTAAATCTGGAGCCTCCTCTATGGATGTTGTTCGGTAAGTCAATATCTTATAAAGCTTCTACACTGAGCCCATGTTGTAGCAGGAAACATAAAAACAGAGTCTTGTTCATCCACACACCACATGATTGGCAGGAATATGGGACAAGATCTTCGCAGTGATTGGTCACCCATTTTAGATTTCTCTGTTGATATAATCTAGGGCTACATCTACATTGTAGAATTAATGTAGTTTGACATCATGTTAACTGCCATGGCTCAATGCTATGAAACTATGGGGGTTGTAGTTTGGTGAGGCACTAGTATTCTTTGGCAGAGAAGGCCAAATTTCTTGTAAAACTACAACTTTCATAACTCTATAACATCAAACCACGACAAAGTGTTGTCAAACTGCATTAATTCTGTAGTGTAGATGTAGGACAACTCCCTCCCTCCTCATCCTTTTGCTGTTAGATAAAGACTCTCCTTCCCTCAAATGACATAGGTAACTATGCCTGATTTAGTAACTGCAAAAAAACCACAACCAGAGGAGCTGGGAAATCTATTTTATGTAATATTTTTATCCTGTCCTCTATTTTAAGATTTTAGTATGTTCTATGGCTGTCATCATTTTGACCAGTTTCTTATCATTTTGTATTTGTTTTACTTTCAAGGCTGATTGAAGAGATCAAGCAAAAATGTGCTGGTCTCGAACTACAGAATGAAGATGTCTATATGGCGCCAAAGCTTGGAGATTTTATCCAACTGGCTGTCAGGAGACACAGGGGAGAAGACAAAGAGGAGGAATTAGCTATCAATTATGTAAGCTACTTTCCCAAAAGCAGGATTTCTTTTATGGTGGTCTAACCAAATGTCATCATCATGGGCAATATGTATCCAAAAGGAAATATTGGAAAAAATCTTTATGGACATCTCTGTGCCTCCTGCACATAAAGACAGGTTGTACACACACATAGGATCAGTCATTAAGGGCCAGATCATACGAGAGAACATTATTCCCTGAAATCAAACAGAAATCCATTCCATATCTAAAGTCTGAGATGAGGTCTTACTGTATACCACTCAAGAATGTATTCTGTAGAGCAATTTAAAAGTACTGTAACAAGCAAGAAAAAAATGTAGATTAATATCAACATGTTTGTTTTCTATTAAGAAATGTATTAATAAAATGGAGGAGATTATAAGTCTCCTCCTCCTCCTGTCGTGTCAGGAGTGACTTGAGAAACTGCAAGTCGCTTCTGGTGTGAGAGAATTGGCCGTCTGCAAGGACGCTGCCCAGGGGGACGCCTGGATGATTTGATGTTTTTTCACAACTTAATTATTACTTTAATAATTTTATCATAAATAAACAGGAGCAAAAAGTGATGGCTTGATGCTGAAATATATCTGTGGGATGTAGAAGTGGGCAGGTGAGCTTTAGTGAGTCAAATACTTGGTGTTCATCATTAACACCAACCCCCTTTTGAAAAAAAATATTTTTCTTTGTCCTTTCATTGAATGGAGGGAAGAATTAGGTCAGGCAGTGGGTGGTACTTTTTCAATTTCATGTTTGCCTTTGTCAGAGCTACCAGAGACATTTTGAAGGAAATGTCATGGTGGCTATCCTGCTGCCCATTTTCATTGCTGCCATCTGTGGCACCTCTGCTTCCTGGTTAGTTCTCTGAAGACTCCGGTGGAAGACCTAGAGATTCCTAGAGACGTGTTCTTTCTAAGAATCTCTGGGATCCCTTTCCACACAGCTGAATAAAATCCCACATTTTTTGCTTTGAACTGAAATACGAGGCAGAGTGGACTCAGGTAACCCAGCTGAAAGCAGATATTGTGGGGTTTTCTGCCTTGATATTCTGGGTTGTATGGCTGTATGGAAGGGCCCCCAAACACAACTCAATCGTCAAATTCTGGTGGACGTTCATCAAACAGGCTCTAGAAGGCTCTAGAAATTCCTAAAGAAAATACATTTATAAAATTCACAAATAATCAAATCCATAAAAGTTAAACATGAAAGTGTCAATTGTCAATTGTATTATGTGTAAAATAAATCACTGACATAATGCTAGTGGTTTGAGTGTTTTATTTATTTATTTATTTATTTATTTATTTATTTATTCAGAACTTTTATATCCCAGACTTCTCAACCTCCGCAGAGGGACTCAGGCCAGCTAACAACAGAAAATGCATACACAAGTAAACTAATAAGGACTAGGAAACCTATTGAGTGAATTTAGGCAAATCATACTCTCTCAACATTAGGAGAATACAGTAGCAAATCTCTGAGATCATAGAATCATAGAGTTGGAAGAGACCACATGGGTCATCAAGTCCATCCCCCTGCCATGCAGGAAAAGCACAATCAAAGTACCCTGACAGATGGCCATCCAGCCTCAGTTTAAAAGCTTCTGAGGAGGAAGCTTCCACCAGACTCCAAGGCAGAGAGTTCCACTGCTGAATGACTCTTACAGTCAGGAACTTTCCTATCAGTCCTTTCCTATCATTTGAACCAATTGTTCTGAGTTCTAGTCTCCAGGGCAGCAGAAACCATGCTTGCCCCCTTCTCTTTATGACATCCTTTCACATATTTATGCATGTCTCCTCTCAACCTTCTCTTCTGCAGGAAAAATATACCCAGTTCTTTAAGACACTCCTCATAAAGCATGGTCTCCAGATCTCTGATCATTTTAGTTGCCCTCCTCTGAATGCCTTTCAGCTAAGGTGCAGCTGTGATAGATTGGATCAGTATGTAAAGATCCCTTTGCAAACCTCCTCTGAAAAAAATCTTGCCAAGATAATCCCATGGTAGAATTGCCGTAAGTCAGAGTTGACTTGAATGCATGTAATGCCAATAAGTAGAGGTTGGAAATTTTTGATTCAATAAATAATTTTTTCTGAAACTAATGTCCCTCCACCATCTTGTGAAAATAATCCCAGACAATTTCTTTAAGCCTTTGAAATAGACATTTAGCAACTCTTGCCGAAAGATAGTCTAAAACTGAATACTAAATGTTAAGTTGATTTTATGTCAGGAACTGAAAAATACTGCATATAAGCACATTGTGTACATTCAGAATGTTGTGTATGTTCAGAATGTAAATTAGCAGTCCTTCATGTGTTCTTCAGGAAGGCATTGTTTATGTGGCACAAGCGTTTAGGATAAACAGACCCATTTGATTTGGTTTGCTATTAGGTTTCAAAGGAAGTCAACCACATGACAGTGAAGATGCCTTATCAATGTTTTATTAATGGGCAATTTGTGGATGCTGAAGATGGAAAGACAGAAGACTCTATAAACCCAACAGACGGATCAGTGAGTAAATTTTCTGTGGTATATTATTTTTGGTCTTTATATCTGGATTTCACTCAAGTTTACCATTGTGGTCATTTTTAATGGATTTGGCTGGGACTGGAAAATGTAGCAATATAGAGCATCAGGTCTTCTATTTTTGTTAGTTTTTTATTTGAATGGATTTTAACAACAGGTTTCATGGACACCTGGGACTTTGAGCCCACAAATAGAAACTCTCCATCTGTTTTCCTTACCTTTATGTCTTCCAGGATGTGTTAGAGCATTGTTTCTCAACCTGGGGGATGGGACCCCTGGGAGGGGGTCATGAGGCGTCACCAAAGACCATCAGGAAACATAACATTTTCTGTTGGTCATGGGGACTCTATGTTGGTCATGGGGTCCAATTCTATCATTGGTGGGGTTCAGAATTATATTTCATTGTAGGTGAACTACAAACCTCAGCAATTGCAATTTCCAAATGTCAAGCTCTATTTTCCCCAAACTCCACCAGTGTTCACATTTGGGCATATTGAGTATTTGTGCCAAATCAAACCAGACCCATCATGGTTTGAGTCCAAAGTTCTCTCTGAATGTAGGAGAACTACAACTCCAAAACACAAGGTCAATGCCCATTAAACCTTTCCAGTAATTTCTGTTGGTCATTGGAGTTCTGTGTGTCAAGTTTGGTTATTCCATTGTTGGTGGAGTTTGATTGTAGAACTATAAATCCCAGCAACTACAACTCCCAAATGACAAAATCAACCCCCCCCCCCCTCCCAACCCCACCAGTATTCAAATCTGGGCATATCAGGTATTTGTACCAAATTTGGTCCTGTGAATGAAAATACACCCTGCATATTAGATGTTTACATTACGATTCATAACAGTAGCAAAATTACTGTTATGAAATAGCAATGAAAATAATTTTATGGTTGGGGGTCACCACAACATGAGGAACTGTATTAAGGGGTCGCGGCATGAAAAAGGTTGAGAACCACTGTGTTAGACTATAACTCCTACCATCCTCAACCAGTGTTTGTGTGTACTCTGTGGCTTCATGTCACCCATCGAATCATGGCAATCGTATGAATTTCATAGGTTTTTCTTAGACAAGTAATAGAAGTTTGCCAATCTCCTTCTGAAATATAGCATACAACACCTGGTATTTATTGATGGTCTCCCATGCATGTATTACCCAGGGGCTGACTGTATTTAGCTTCCAAAATCAGATGGGATCCAGTGGTTTTAGGGAATTTAGGCATTAGTGCTTCAATATAAGCTATATTAAGAGGACATGCTTCAGGCAATTTACCATAACATTCTTAAATTCTACATAGGATAAGAGACCTGTATTCATATCAACACACTCTTGACTCCAGTTAATGAATGCATTTTTCTATTTTTTCTATACTTTCCTCCATAGTTTATCCATCCTTTTTTTTCTTTTCCTTTCTTATTCCTCATTTCTTACTCTCTAACGTCTGCTCTTCCCTTCTCACCTTGCTTTCATCATAAAAATAAAAGTGAAAGGCTAAAGATAGGTAAGGAGAGCAGCTAGTAGTTAAACTTCTTCTCTAAGAATGACAAAATAGTCATTTACAGCTTGAAATAAAATCTAAGCTGTTTTTAAAGCTGGTGAAATCTCCCTATTGTTATGACAGGTGATTGCAAAAGTGTCATATGCTACAGCAGGCGATGTTGACAAAGCAGTTGCCGCAGCAAAAGATGCTTTTGAGCTTGGTGAATGGGGACGGATGAATGCCAGAGAAAGAGGGAGATTAATGTACAGGTATGATAATATTATATCTTCATAATATATTATAAATCTGAAATATAACTTATTTTATTAGAAATACATATAAGATGAAGTGAAAGACCAAATTCTCGAAGCCTTTCCTGGGGCAAAGGTTGACAAATAAATTTTAAAAATGTGATAGTGGTATCTAAGAATTTTCTATTTCTTTAACTTTATTTATACTAGATTCTTTATCCCAATTGTTTGAGGGAACATGCATGATTTTTCCTTCGTCTCCCTTGAACCTTTATAGTCACAATAAGCCTATAATCACAATAAGCCAGAGAGTAGCTGGTCAAGGTTACCCAACAAGCTTCATGTCTGAACAGGAATTTGAACCCGAGTTCTTGTTGAAAACAATTTTCAATAGACTTTGTTTTTCTGTGCACAAAGATTATTGCAGGCACTGACTGCAGCCAGGAAAGCAGAAGACATTTACTTCTTGGGAGGAGAGCAGTGACCAATCTCGATAAAATAATGAAGAGACATCACACTGGCAACGAAGATCTGCATAGTTAAAGCAAGAGTATTCCCCATAGTAACTTATGGATGCGAGAGCTGGACCATAAAGAAGACTGGCCGATGGAAGATGGACACTTTTGAACTGTGGTGCTGGAGGAAAATTCTGAGAGTGCCTTGGACCACAAGAAGATCAAACCAGTCCATACTCCAGGAAATACAGCCGGGCTGCTTACTGAAGGGAAGGATATTAGAGGCAAAGATGAAGTACTTTGGCCACATAATGAGAAGACAGGAAAGCTTGGAGAAGATCACGATGCCTGGGAAAATGAAAGGAAAAAGGAAGAGGGGCTGACCAAGGACAAGATGGTATCCTTGAAGTGACTGGACTGACCTTGAAGGAGCTGGGGGTGGCGATGGTTGACAAGGAGCTCTGTTGTGGGCTGGTCCATGAGGACACGAAGAGTCGGAAGCAACTGAACGAATAAACAACAACAACCTTGTTGTCTGAATCTGACATTCTAAAGGGTACATCACACTGGCTGTCATTCCTTTCCCTTCTGCATCCATAATTGTCCCTGTATGCACATAGAAATGTGAAATGATGTTCCAGCCATGTCTTCAGGATGTATTTAATTTATTTGCTGAATGAAAGGCAAATTCCTCAGAGTGAGAACCATTTTCAACTGTAGGTCAATCATCCCCTTCCAGAATACCGAGTTAGGAGAATTTTACTTTTACCAAGTTCAATATATGTCCTTTATATATTTTTCAATGTCTCTTTAAAGACTTGCAGACCTGATGGAAGAACATCAAGAGGAACTGGCAACCATTGAAACCATTGATTCGGGAGCTGTTTACACACTTGCTCTGAAGACCCACATTGGGATGTCAGTGCAAACATTTCGATATTTTGCTGGATGGTGCGACAAAATACAGGCAAGCTAATATATGAACACTCATGAATGAAAGAAGGGAACTGTGCCTTTTTGCACACTTTTTCACAGGCTTTTCTTCATGAGAGAAATCACCATATTGCATAGTGTTTCCTGGAAACTTGACATCTGCTCACCCTGGTAGCAGAAGCAAAAACTCTCCTTATACATAGGAATTTACAAAATATGAGAGTTTGTGTGTGACAGGCTTGATCTACACTGCCCTATATCCCAGGATCCGATACCAGATTATCTTCTTATGCCAGATTATTTGGCAGTGTAGACTCAGGCCGCTTCCACACAGCTGAATAAAATGCCACATCTGCTTTGAATTGGAATATATGATAATCCGGACTCAGATTATCAAATTCAATACTGAAATTGTGGGATTTTCTGCATTGATATTCTGGGTTATATGACTGTGTGGAAGGGCCCTTATATAAACCAGTTCAAAGCAGATAATCTGCGATCAGATCCTGGGATATAGGGCAGTGTAGATCTAGCCACAGAGTCTGCTGATTGAATTGTTTCATAAGCAAAAGCAGAAGAGAAATCAAATCCTCAAACTTACCTTAATTAATTAACATGAACATATGAGAATATTTCATCACCTGTGTGATTTTTTTACAAGAATTCTTTCATTCAATTTAGGGTTCTACCATCCCGATAAACCATGCACGTCCTAATCGTAACTTAACTTTCACTAAGAAAGAGCCCTTAGGGTAAGCATAATTACTTTTTTTTTTTTTGCTTATGAAACCAAACTAGTTTTAAATTTCTACCAATAGCTGGTTTGTGTCATCTGTGTATTTTTGGTATTTTTCTCCCCTATCCCTATCCTACTTACAGAGTCTGTGCAATTATCATTCCTTGGAATTACCCTTTGATGATGCTTGCCTGGAAGAGTGCCGCATGCTTAGCTGCTGGCAATACTTTGGTTCTGAAACCAGCACAGGTGTTGTTGTTGTTATTATGTTTCTTTCTACCCCACTTTTTCTCTCCATAAAGGAGACTCAAAGCGGCTTACATGAAAAGCATTTCAATACAATTTAAAATCTACAAATGTACAAACATTAAAACAGAATTAAATATCAATAACGTTAAAAATGTACCAGGTAGGTCAATGGCAGCTACGGTACATTTTAAATCACAGCTGATGTTAGGCGCTTTTTTATGCATTTAAATTGTATAACTGTCCGGGGAACATGTTTTTAGTGTAATTATGTTTTCTATTGAAATATTTGTATTTTCCATTATTATTCTATTTTTATTTCTATTATCTCTTTAGTTATAAGTTTGTTGGTGTTATTTTGTTTTACTTTGATTGGTGTATATTTGTTGACTACGGCATTGAATGTTTGCCTTTTTGTATGTAAACCACTCAGAGTCCCCTTAGGGAGAAATGGTGGTCTATAAATAACATACTTATTATTGTTATTGTTAAAGTTGTTGTCTTTGTCATTGTTGCTGCATATTGAAACACAAGAATGCTTCTCCAACTTTGCTCTTCCAGACATTTTGTATTTCAACTCTCAGAAGTCCCAGCTAAATATGCATAATAATTTTGTTGTCAAAAAAAAATTGGGATAAATATGGGTGATTTGAGGAGGTATTCATGCTATTGCAAAGAATCTGTGAAGAATTTAGTACAGCAAAACTGATTTAAGTGCAAAATAAATGAAGTGCTAGCAAATGTGTGGGTCTATTCAAAACTTAGGTTTCAGCTAGAACAAGTATTAGGAAGAGTATTAAAATATGTAAACAACTGCATGCTCCAATCTAATAAACATAAAAGTAAAGGTTTCCCCTGACGTTAAGTCTAGTGTGTCCGACTCTGGGGGTTGGTGCTCATATCTAATTCTAAGCCGAAGAGCCAGTGTTGTCCATAGACACCTGCAAGGTCATGTGGCCAGCATGACTACATGGAGCGCCATTACCTTCCCACAGAAGTGGTACCTATTGATCTACTTATATTTTGTATGTTTTCAAACTGCTAATTTGGCAGAAGGTGGGCCTAACAGTGGGAGCTCACCCCACTTCCCAGATTTGAACAGCCAACCTTTTAGTCAGCAAATTCAGCAGATCAATGGTATAACCCACTGCACCACCAGGGAGCCATTCTAATAAACATAACTGCTGTAAAATTTCTAATAACCCCAATTAGAGCAGTATATATTTTACTTTATATTTTGAAAGTAAATGTTGCAATATATGCTATGCTTACTTTGAAATATATTCTCTAAAAACACATCTATATCTGAAAATGACATGTTGTCTGGTTTATCTGTATGCTTTTATTTAGGTCACTCCACTGACCGCCTTAAAGTTTGCTGAGCTCTCTGTTAAAGCAGGATTTCCCAAAGGTGTCATAAATATTCTACCTGGATCAGGTAATAGAAATATTCATCTTTTCATTCCAATAGTAGACTGTGAGGAGTATGACACATTTAAATAGTAACCAAAGAACAACAACTTACAGCTTACTAAACATCACTGTATTTAATCTTACCTGTTTTGTGAAGGTAGTATAGCAGGAAAACGCTTGTCAGAACACCCAGATATTCGTAAACTTGGTTTCACTGGTTCAACACCAATTGGAAAACAGATAATGAAGAGGTAATGTTTTCCCTGCATTTTTAATTAGATTTTTCATTTTTATAATGTGTATAATCTCCTTGATAGCTGCTGCTTTCCCCCCATGATATGATTATGTGGTAGTTTCTCAATGTTAGGACAGGCTATGTTTTTCTCACATTTGGCAAAGTTTAGATGTTTCTCCCAAGACATCATTTCTTCCACTAAGAGCTTTACAGTAAAATATGCAGACATTTTGGCTCTCAATTAGTTTGCCTTCCAGCCCTGAACTTCTTTGTGTCTTAATAAAGCCCTCACTATTTTGAGATATTAGCTTGGATTCTCTTCCTTTTTGGAATCAGACATGGTTGTACCCTTTTTCCTACAATCAACCTCACTTGTTTACTGATATAGTTTGAATTTCCTTGAAAATACACCCAAGGGAGGTGGCTCAAAATCTAGTTAAATCATAAAAAAATGATACAACAATATAAAGAGTAGGCTCCAATTGAACATAAATTACCTAATTTGAATAGTTTTGGACGGGAATAAGCAAATCAATAAATATATAGGAATGCCCCTATTTATATAATTTTATTAACTGAAGGATACTAAATTATGAAAGCTTGTCATTTACTTCCATTTCTCTTTTCAATATAGTTGTGCTGCCAGCAACCTGAAAAAAGTTTCTCTAGAACTGGGTGGAAAATCACCATTGATCATATTTAATGACTGTGATCTTGACAAAGCTGTGAGAATGGTAGGTCTTCTTATAAGCATACATAATTTTTTTTAAAGAAGTCTCGTGAGCATTTTCTGCTATCTCCTTTTGCCAGGGGACTGCTAGGATTTTGGCTGCAGGAGGTGTCTTGAGGATACCTATAGCATTTCATCCTCTCCTTTCTGTTGCAGGGCATGGGATCAGTTTTCTTCAATAAAGGGGAGAATTGCATCGCAGCTGGGAGGCTCTTTGTGGAAGAATCAATTCATGATGAATTTGTTAGGAGAGTGGTAAGAAACTTTAATTGGGTGCTTCAAAATAAATCTGTTATACTAGCATTTATTTATTTATTTTACAGTATTTATATTCCGCCCTTCTCACCCCTCAGGGGACCCAGGGCGGATCACAATGCACATATACATGGCAAACATTCAGTATCACAGACACACAACATATATAGAAAGAGACATGGAGGCTACTTAACTTTCCAGCTTCGGAGACATTGAGGCTACTTAACTTAGACAGAGACATGGAGGCTACTTAACTTTCCAGAGGGTATGCTTTTTGAATTCCAGCCACCGGGGGAGCTGTTGCTTCACCATTCATTTGTGACACCGTTGGAGTACTTCCTCATACTTTTGCACGCTGCTGGAGAGTTTTATGGCACTGTAAATTCATTAAATTAGCCTCCCCGCAGAAGTGGTACCTAAATTTCCTACTTGACAGATGCAACTGTCTTTCAGGATGCAAAGGTCAACAGCAAGCTAGACAAATGGCTGGAAGCTCACTCCAACCTGGGCTGGCTTGGAACTCATGACTTCTTGGTCAGTAGTGATTTTAATGCAGCTGACTCCCAATCAGTTGCAGGACAATCTGGTCCTCCTCTTTCCTGTTCTCTTCTTATTCTACTTTCAACATGGGAGAAGCATTACAGTGTTATTTTCATATTTTGCATTGCACTATAATGACTTGCTCTTTTGACTTATCTAAATTGTACTTTCAACCCTGCTCTTTCATTCATGTTCTGCCTCTTTTCTCCCCTCTAAGGGTTCATATACATTGTAATTCACTTTGACACTTTCCCCAGTCAATTAATTTCAATCACCCTGGTTCTTACTACTGTTTTGGATGGGGTTTGGACATAATTATCTGAAAAGGCCTTACATTTTGCTTGCATTATATAATATAGGTGGAGGAAACCAGCAAGATGAAAATTGGTGATCCACTAGATAGATCTACAGATCATGGTCCACAAAACCATAAAGCACACATGGAAAAACTTTTGGAGTACTGTGAAACTGGAGTGAAAGAAGGAGCTACACTAGTCTATGGAGGACGACAAGTATGTAGACCAGGTAAACCAATGCTTAAAGAAGGATTAAAAGACCTACAAAAGTAAGACTACTTGATTATAAGGCATGGCAACTGACCACTATGAAGCATTCTGACTTGGAACATCCAAGTCTCATTGCTACCATGAGGCCAAGAAGATTTATGTCAGCTTCAGGAAGCAAAACGGGAATTGATAATACAGATCTAAATACTTACCCAGGCAATCCATATTGAGCTTCTGTTTATTTCTCCCTCTTTCCTGCTCTCTTGTTATTGCACTTTCAACATGGGAGAAGTGAGGCAGGTGAATATTTCTGCATGTTGTAGCCTGGCAAGTATCAGATGAACTTTCTGAGTGCTCAGAGGATAAATTGATATCAGTTCCCATGAGAATAGGCCAGAGTGGCCTTTGGAAGAGAATATGAGAGACAAAGGTTTTTCCAGATCAAGTCGCCTTGAAGTTAGGAGGCAGAATGTAAAACAAAGACAAACTCGTTTTTCTCAGAGGCTTAGAAATAAGGAGAGAAAAAAGCAGATTTGTGCAAAGTGATTTCATGGGAGAAATTGTGGCCTTTTAAGTGGTTTCTGGACTCTCAGGCCTTTAGTGGAAACAACATTGTAAAAGGGGGAACAGCTCCTCCTTCTAGTCCTATGTTCCGGGTTCCTGTATTTCAAGATTCTGGGTTTGATTTCGGTTTATGACCATGTTCTTGGTGGTTTTACATTTCTTGTGTTCCTATTTTCATGTTTATGGATATAACTCTTGAACAATATCCTGCTTGAGGATTATTTTGCTCTGTTTTGCTCTGTGGATTGCCTTTCGATGCCTTGATTCAAAAGCTGATGAACTCTTGATCTTGTTGGGAATTACTTTTTGTACTTTTTCTGCTTCTTCTTTTTTGACTTGCCTTTTCCCTTTTATACTTATTTATCTCAACATTGGGTGGTGTTGAGTGAAAAAGTGCTCCAGGGCTATAGTGCAACACTGCAGGGCTTAGGAAGGGACCCAAGTCACATTGCCCATTTTGGGTATGGACTTCTTTGTTTGTTCTCAGATGGGTAGACCCAGTAAATCTTGTACCCTTTGAAAGCCTCTCCCCAGGACAATATTTCATCCTATAACTCTACATGCTGAGGGCTTATCCTTTTCTACATCTATTGTGGCAACCTAAGCAAATAAGGTATTTCCCCAGAGTAATGCTGGATCAGATTGCTCGTGTCCCAATTATACAAGAGGCCATTTGTTTAATTGTTTTTAACCAGAGATGGACATTTTTGTGGGCCTGGGGGTCATCCCAACCACACCCCACCAAACCCCTGTAGTTGTTATGTGTTTTCAAGCAACTCCGACCTATTGTTGTTGTTTATTTGTTCAGTCGCTTCCGCCTCTTCATGACCTCATGGACCAGCCCACGCCAGAGTTCCCTGTCGGCCGTCACCACCCCCAGCTCTTTCAGAATCAGGCCAGTCACTTCAAGAATACCATCCATCCATCTTGTCCTAGATCAGCCCCTCTTCCTTTTTCCTTCCATTTCCCCAAGCATCATCGTCTTCTCTAAGCTTTTCTGTCTTCTTATTATGTGGCCAAAGTACTTCATCTTTGCCTCTAATATCCTTCCCTCCAATGAGCAGTCAGGTTTTATATCCTAAAGTATGAACTGGTGGGATCTTCTTGCAGTCCAAGCCATACTCAGAATTTTCCTCCAACACCACAGCTCAAAAGCATCTATCTACCTTCACTCAGCCTTCCCTATGGTCCAGCTCTCACATCCATAGGTTACTACAGGAAATACCATTGCTTTAATTATGCGGATCTTTGTTGCCTGTGTGATGTCTCTACTCTTCACTATTTTATCGAGATTGGTCATTGCTCTCCTTCCAAGAAGTAAACATCTTCTGATTTCTTGGCTGTAGTCTGCATCTGCAGTAATCTTTGCACCCTAGAAATACAAACTCTGACTTATGGTGAGCCTTACTTAGGAATTTCTTCAAGGAAGCTTGCCATTGCCTTCCTAGAAGGCTGAAAGGATGTACTTTGCCCAATTTCATCCAGTAGATTTTTGAGTACAAGTTCAAACTCTGTTGTCTGGCACTCAAACCACTAGATCATATTGACTGAAATGGAATATATCTGTTTAAATATAATGAGTTCTTGTTATTTGTTGCTGTGTCTGCCCTGGTTGTAGTAAACAATAGCTCATTATATTGCTTGTAATTCTTGTTGTACTAGAGAAGGAAGATCCCTTTTACTTGTTACATTGTTTTTGACACATAACATCATTAGACAACTAGAGCTGCAAATAAGCTTCAAATACAAAAACTGGAAAAATGGGTTTTTAAGTTTCTGAAATCTCCGATCTTCCTCAAGTTGCTTTCTCATTTCCCTCTCGGTCCTCAAATAGTCTCAAGGACTACTTTCACCCCTCCAGTTCCAGCTTTCCTATTACCTGTCTCCCAAAATCTGAGAGAGCAGTACAGGGGCAGATCAGTGAAGAAAATAATAATGGGCTGTGTTCTGACACTTGACATGCAATCATGATGCAATCGTATGAACCTTCTGTCAGACTACAAATGGTGAGGCTACAGCTTCACAAACTCTCTTGATTCTCCCTTCACAGTCCCAATATTGCATAGAGGTGGGAAGCAGAAGCCAAGAGAGGGTCATGGCAGTCTATATAATTGTTTTCCAGAGAGAGAAAACTGATTGTTCATTCCCTTGTAGAAACAAGTAATGTGATACGGCACATAGCTATTGTGCATTCCTTCTAACAAAGTAAATAGATAACTGTGTCGCTTGTTTTGAATTGGAAGAAGGCCTAAGTAAGCAACTATTTGTGAAAGTTGAGTTCCATGTTAATGGTGGGAACAACACTCCATGTTTTACTCTGATTCAAAATATTAAATTTATTTTGCAGACAGAGTTCAGCATCTTGGACAGCGTATTTAACATCTAGATTAGAAAACAGAGTGGATGTTGAGATGGAGGCTATTGGCTGTCAGGGCCACAGGACAGATCTTACACTCAAGCTCCTTATACTTGTTGCTTGATCATTGTCTCTTATCCCTTTTCCCATTTGCCTCCACTGGGAGCATTTTCTAGAAATGAAAATAAATTAATCTGAATTTTTACAAGGTGCTTTACATATTAAGATGTGATAACCATGCTCAATTAAATTTTGATTAAATGGGAGGCAGTGTTTTACATTGAGCAAAATTTGTTTATCCATTGATCAAATTAATTAATGTTGCTGCTCTAAGAAGGCAACAACATTGGACTACTATCATCAGTGCTACAATCAGCCACACTGAAGTTATCACAGCACAATTCATGTAGCAAGATAGAGAAAACCTGAGATAATTTCAGAATTTGCATTTAGCATTCTACTTTCTCTTTTATTAGGCTTTTTCATGGAACCTACCATTTTCACAGATGTTGAAGACCATATGTATATTGCACGTGAAGAATCTTTTGGTCCTGTAATGGTAATTTCCAAGTTTAAAGATGGGTATGTTCCATTGTAGTTCTCCAGTGGGCTCTATTATTCTGAATTTCTAATAACTGCTGACCTATAGTTACTTAATTATCAAATAAAGCAGGGCTATGTTTCCATCTCTGTTATCCACAAAAGTGGGAAAGGAGAGAGCAATAGCTTAATGCATTTGGATATGTTCTGCTTGTTGGGTAGAATGCTTCTTGCAGCAAAATCCTATAATGCATAAAGCAGGCTCTGTGTTCTATAGACATCCTTTTGTGGATGAGACAGAATGATGTGTGTTAACTCCATGCAATTGCTAATTGTATGGACAAAACATTCAAGTAGGGTTATTAACATACATCTAATAGCTATGATGCCAATTTGATAGTATAACAGAAGATGAGATTGAGAAATTGCTAGATGTTGTAGATGTTGTAGTTGTGGACACCAAGTTCTGGACAATATACAAGGAAAGGGAGGCACAAGTGAGGATGGCATTGTTATGATACACAACAAGTACAATACTGCTTGTACAACTGGAAAAATGATTGAAGTCCACCAATGCGGTTTCTTCTACAAATTTGATATCAGTTTTAAGCTATAGATATCTCCCTTTATATTACTTTGTAATCGCCGAAGTATGCTATCCATAGATGGTTTTGTGGTTGGGAATGTTGAGGAAGCTAGGTAGATATTGGCTCAGAGCCTTTGATGCAGTCTGTGTTGTTTCTGGATTGACATGTTTTCTCATCTTGTAGGGATGTTGATGGGGTATTAGAACGAGCCAACAGAACAGAATACGGTCTGGCTTCAGGGGTTTTCACCAAAGATATTAACAAAGCTCTGTATGTCAGTGACAAACTAGATGCTGGAACAGTTTTCATTAACACCTACAATAAAACTGATGTGGCAGCCCCATTTGGTGGATTTAAGCAATCTGGGTTTGGAAAAGATCTAGGTAAGTTGCCTTTTAAGTGGGCATCAACCCACTTAAATATAAAGCCATGGTTCTGCAGAAAGGCTTTTACAATTATATTTACATTTTCCCCCTACTTTTAATTAAATGTGCATTTAATTTATTTTGTAGAGTGGGGTTTTACAAACCTGTGACTTCAATTGTTGTCCAACACCAATTCTTGGCACCTCCAGCCAGTACAATCAGGGATGATAGGAGCTATAGTTCAATATTACCTTGTAGCTGTACACCTTCATTTTATGGGTGCAATTGCCCTCTACTAATACATTGGATGTATTTTAAAAATAAGACTCTTTACTTAATACAAGGATATAGACTACAGAAGTCTGCTCATTGGCCTGCATGAAATGAATCTTACAATATTCATAAGATCTAATAGTGTTGGGGAGTTCCCTAGAGCACTGCTTTTAAACTGGGGGTCCCAACCCCTAATGGGGACACCTTCGCTCAATGCTGGAGTCATGAAAAATTTGGCAACAGTAAAAAAATTCTGGACATCACCTAATGGCTGTGTTAAACATTTACGCAAATGGGTTGTGCAGTGTTTACAGTGGGCTCTGCAAAAGGTGCTTTAGCTGTACTTCATAAAAAGGAAAATGAGCCTGTTTAGCAAGCCTTGCAAATGCTGATTTGTTATCTATAATGTTTTAAAAATATGTATACTTAATTTATATACATATATACCCAGAGTTATATAAATGTTTCTTGGGCCAAAATGGGTCCCAAGTGGAAAAGTTTAAGAAGCCCTGCCCTAGAGTATGAGGAAGATAAGCTGGTGCCTTCTGTATTTTTTCACCTAGATCCCATACACCCTAGTCTGCAAAATCAGGGTAGATGCAATCCAAAACCTATAGTTTGAAACACATCACACTAAAGCATTATTCCCCCATTGGCAGCTCCAGTCCACTTGCCAATTAAAACCTCTGAGGATGCCTGCCATAGATGTGGGTGAAACGTCAGGGGAGAATGCTTCTGGAACATGGCCATAAAGCCCAGGAAATGCACAGCAACCCAGTGATTCCAGCCATGAAAGCTTTCAACAATGCATTAGTTTATGGTTCTACATTGTTTCTTGTAAAAGCAAAGTGGATGACGTTATTTCCTCATTTCCTTCAGGTGAAGAAGCTCTTCATGAATACCTGAGAACAAAAGCAGTAACTGTGGAATATTAAGCTGCTCTTTTTATGTAACTAAACCGTTCTCTTGCCAATACATTGAACTTTTAAATATTTCCTTGAGCACAAGGCAAAACAAGAAAGGTAAATGTTGAGTAGAAGACTGTTCCTGGCATTAATACACAAACCAGAACATCATTTTCAGTCAAAAAAGGAACAAGATATTCTTTTAAACTGTTTGTGCCAAGTACTTTATTATACATATGGATCCATGATCAAAGACCTGCATTTTTGAGTCTTGCTCCATCTTAAGTCTTGAAATATCAGAGATCTCTTCTCTTCTGGCCTTTTTTACTGTGTGGTCTCCACTGTGTGCAGTGAACTTGAATGCTCATATCATGCCCTGATGAATCCAAATGGGGAATCTAGAGAACAGCATCCTGAAACCTCCAACCTCTTGATTTTGCAGTGTGAATGTTTTATCTATGTGAGAAGCAAAATACTAATGTTCCATGCCTGTCCAATGTAGTCATGTGGAACTTAAGTTTCTTTTAAAATGTGTTTGACATCAGCATTCTGCTTCTCTTTGCAGTGGGGAAAACAAATGTGCCATAAACACTGTAAATACATTCAAGGAAGTGCACTTACTATGATTTCTTATGATGCAGAAATCCTATTATAATTTGTATTGAACTATACATATAAAAGCTACATCAACTATTTTATAACTTTGTTGACCAATGAGTGATGTGTAATTAGAAGTGTAGATGCCAGTTATTAAACCTCATTTGTGCTGGATGTATTACATGGTATTTTGCAATCCCAGAATATGGCAGGAAGAGTTTGCCCTTTCAGATATCCTAGATTTCATCTCCCAGAAACATCTGCATGGCCAATGCAAAAGAATTATGGCGGCTCCAAGGGACAAGAATTCAAGGGCCGGGGGGCGGAGTTACCATGGCCGGTTGAACAGACGTCTTTCCTCCAGCTCTTGTGGAAATATAGCAAA